GTATTTTGCAGAGAGGCCTGACCATGCCTTGTCGGCTCAATATGGCTTTACCTTTCGGACCCTTGTTTTATATCCCTCTATTTTCATAAACTGTTAAATTGTCGGAATGATGTCCAATAACTATTTACGTGCCCGAATAGGGTTTAGTTTTTATTATTGTATAAACTTCCCAAAAAAATCCCAAATCATTAAATATTTTAGCACCAATATAAGTAACATCTGTAAAATAGCGTTAAGGTACTTTCAGTGAATAACTAGAGGAACTCCCGCCCTTTCGAAGGAGGTTCCAGGACGTTTCCTTCTTTCAGGAAAGAAGACGAGAAGACATTCAGAATTCCATCTTGACTCTGACAACATCTAAAGTTACCTCTCATAACTGACAAAGTGTCCTTCCCAAAACTTATAAATTTTCACAAATAAACGAAACCTTTTTTTATTAAATCAAAAGATATAGTTTTAATTCTAGTGTAGGTATATTTGGGATAAAAGTCACAGTTCTTGTGGCTCAACTCCTAACAAAACACATTTGTGGCATTCAATGCAAAAAAAATGAGAAGGTCTCACAGATCGCATTGACTATTATTTGGGAAAAAACGCACACACCAAGGCACAAATGAGCACTGACTTTAGGAGAATTCAGGATAGAAAGATACTTAAGATTGCAGCGCCGTGGTTTGTCGATTTTTGAAATAAACGGCAAAGTAAGATAGTTGCGGAGTGAGTCCGCGCGCGATCTCCGGAAGGTTTATTGAATGTTCCAAAATCGTACAAGTGAATCTTTGTTATATGTACCTTAATATTGGAGAATTTGTCAATGCCTTGAAGCCTCATTCGGTAATTTGACTCGTGGGTTTTTACATTTAAAAAAAAATTCTAACAAACAGACGACAAGGAATTCTCCTTTTTTCGCCATTACTAAAACATTCATCCTCAGGGGGGATGTTTTCAAAGGCTTCGTTCACATCCGCCTTTCGGAAATGTTTTCGAATACCTAGGCGATTTTGAAAGTTCTATGTTTATAGGCGAAACATCAACAGCGGTCCATATAATTATTTAATCGCGAAAACCCATGACGATGGCGTCGAGTTGTTTTTGAATAATTGAAGATATTTCTTGATGTAGTTACCAGATTTTTTTTTTTAATATATTTCGTCTGCGAAAAGGACTAAATGATGACTTTATTGGCATGAACATACTACATGTGAAATTTTTTTTGCGTTTTCGCGCCAGTTTGAAAATTCGATTTTTAAATAATTTTTTTCTACAAACGTGTTAAAAATGCAATTTTTAACACCCCCTCGAAGCATTAAAAATGTTACTTTATTGCACTAGTGTTAAAAGTCTTTAAGGCACTAGTGTTAAAAATGAAACATCAAAATTTGAAAGCAAACGTCAAAAAAAGTTTGTATTTTTAATTATTTACATTAATATTAATGGTAAAATTTGAACAACTGAGGAAGCTCCATCGGCCGCCTCCTCTGTATTTTTCAAGGGATTGATGCAACCCTCTTTTTCTTGTGTATTTTGTTGCATTTTTAGCAAAAAGCTTACTGACCACGATAGACCATACGACAGACTTTCAAGAAACTGACGAGACATTTCATTACCTGTAAAACAAGGTGCTGGTTGTTTGAATTTTTTGACAAATATCAAATTCAATAATTTTACGTAGGAAAGATGCTTCCAATTTATTATTCATTTAAAAATCCAATTTGTCACTGGTTATTGCTTGTTATTGCCGTTTGTAGAAAAAATATTGTATGATATTTGTGTTAAAAGTATTTTTAAGGCATTTATGTGAATTGCAGAATGAGCGAAGCGAAAACTTTCACATGCATGCCTTAAAAATGTACTTTTAACACTCATATCATAAATAACTATTTTTTTTTTAAATAGGCGTTTTTTTCCAAAAAAAAGTATACAGATAGTATTAGAATGACTAAATGAATAATTTAAATATGTTTTTGAAAAATGTGAAAGTGACCCATTATTTATGGTATACAACTCGTTAAAGAGGTCGATATTCGTCAGTACAAAAACCTAATTCCTTTCTTGAAGATAAAAAACGGTGGAAGAATTTCAAAAATATCTAATATTTTTGAAAGGCATGAAATGAAGAGAAAAATTGAAAAAAAAAAATAAATCGGTGCGTGAAATTTTTTTCTCGGGCACAGCGTGCGTGGAAAACTTTTTTCGCGCACGCCGTGCGGTAAAAAATTTTTCACGCACGCAAAAAACAAATCAAAGATTGCTATGGTTTTTATAACTTAGCAATATTTTTCTTTATATTGTCAATGAACTTTGACGTCAAAATGTCATGTCAAAAATCCTGACCAATAAAGGAACAATTATACGAAGTACGTTCAAAAAACCTTAGTAATCTTTGATTGTTTTTTTTTTTTGAAGATCAAATAGAATCTGCAACATTTAACATTTGCTTAGGCTAAATTTATGATCTGCTGAAAATTGTACATTCACTATTCACCATTGTTTGCATATCATATAGGTATTTCTTCATTCAGGACGCGACGGCGCGTTGGGAAAAAATTTTCCACACTAGTGCGGAAAAATTTTTCCACACCAGTGCGGAAAAAGAGCTTTTTTCGCACGCTCGTAGAAAAAAAGAATTTTCTGCATTCTTACTTTTGAAAAATTCATAGTCCTTTTTGAGGAAATAAATACAAAAGAAAACTAAATAAAAACACCGGATTTATTCGCACTACGTCACAGCTTGCATTTTGTACAGTGTTGCCACTTATTGTCAGCATTAAAAATTTGTAATACATATATCTAATTCTAAAATGTTGGCGAAATACGGAGGAAAATGATTAAATTAATTACTTCAGTGTTAATTTTTTTTTTCCCACGGCGCACTTCATTTAGTCATAACTGGCAACAGCACAATCAAAGTTTTAAGCCAGCAGGACAGGAACAGCTGTTCGTGCTTTGTCGATGGAATCTTCTCAAATTTGATTGCTAGAAGTGCTCATATTGTAGCAATTAGGCTACTTTGGCATTTTATTATTATTTTAAGCATGTACATTTATTATATTGTCAACCCTACATGAGACCACGGGCTACAACCAAATTCAATACACTGAACCACGGGTTAAAACAAATAACAGAAACCAAGCAAGAAAACACAACCAGACTAATTAACTTAATTATAGTCAGCAAATATTGGATATAATACCAACTTTTCTATATCAGTAGGTGTTTAGACACGTCTCAAAGTCGGAAGCAATCTGGCTGAATAGGGATTGCGTATCGTATCTCTGTCCGAGCAGATTTCATCTGACGACCCAGACTCTGCTCTGCAGTACAGGCTTCCTAGCTTCTATGATGGCAATGTAGTCTCCTCACTCATACCACCCACAGGTCTTTCCGCACGTGAATTGCATCATCTTAGACTAACTCAAATATCGCAGATAAATAACGACCTGGAGATAATAGAGGACTGGGGTAACAAAAACCGTGTACAGTTCAACGCACAGAAAACCCAAGCAGCTCTGTTTTCAAAAAAGAACAGCACCGGTGAGCCAAACATCATGCTATCTGGAAGTGCTGTCACATTACAGAGTCAGTTGAACATCTTGGGGGTTACTGCAGAGACCAACATGTCTTGGCACCATCACGTGGCAGATATTGCTAAAAGGGCGTACCAAAAGCTGGGGGTACTATTTCGTACAAGACATCTGTACACACCAAGCCAATTGCTGACACTCTACAAAGCCCAGATTCGACCAACTATGGAGTACTGCTCACATATATGGAGTGCAGCACCCAAACATACCTCAATGCTTTTGAACACCGTGCAAAAACGAGCTATCAAGCTGATCAATGACCCCGCACTTACTCGTTACTTGGATGGTCTCGAACATCGCAGATCTGTGGGCGATTTATCTCTCTTCTACAGGTACTATCACGGAAAATGCTCTGAAGAGTTGGCACGTATGATTCCACCGAGAGTAGCGCCTACCAGGCGAACCCGTCAAACAGACGGTAACCATGAATTTACTGTCAAACTAGAGGCACCAAGAACCTCATTATATCAGAATTCATATCTCTGGAGAACAGCATCGCTGTGGAATAAACTCCCTGCGACGGTTTTCCCTGCAGGTTACAACCTGAACCGTTTCAATCGGTGTTGGTGTTGCTGCACAGTTGATCGCTCCTCTATTTACTCATATTAATTAAATAATAAGTGAAATAAATTGTTCGTGCTTCGTGTCATTATGTGTGAAAAAATGTAAGCTTTTCAGTTATTGACATAAGACCAGTAAAACTCTTTTTTAACTTGCGTAAAACAACAAAATCATTGTGTTTAAAGACTACAAAAATATCAATCGTATAGCGGCAAAAACTACTAAATTGCATGCTTTTTATCATCCTATCAATAAAACGGATTCCTTACCTGCCGGATTGGAATTTGTTAGGTACTTTTTTTTTTTTTTTAAAACAAGGATTCTCTGAACTGATTAGGGGAATATGGTGCAAAGTGAAAAATAATATTTTGAAAGTCGTTGGATTGCCCATTCTTGGGATTGCCCTATTCTAATCAACTAAATAGGGTTATGTTCATTTGACACTTCGAAAGTACATGAAGTTAGCCGCTGCTAGACGGTCCAGTGCCCAGTTATCCGAGAGCACCAGACAAGCTAGTAGACCAACACGAAACCATTACACTCGCTTTCTACATTTTACCTTGATAAATTGAACTAAAAGACCACAGTAAAATGGACCACTGTGTGAGTTGCAATGTTGAGTGCATTTTCAAACGAAGGCCTCCTGAGAATGAATTATTTGGAGCTAGTTGCGATGTGTGTAAGCAAATGTACTGCAAACATTGTTCTGATCTATCACCGACCGAATGCGACAGTTTAGTTCTTACTAAAAAGACCTTACTATTTGTCTGTACAGGGTGCACAGATTTACTGAGAGAATGTAATGCTGAGCTGGAATACCTGAAAAAGGCTTACAATGACTTACGCAACAAAACCATGGAAAAATATAATACCATTGAAGACCTTGAAGGAAAATATGAGGTTTTGAACGAAGATCACAGAATACTCAAAAGTGATATAGAAGATAGAGACAACTTTAATGCTAGACTGAAAAGAGGATCAAGAAGTTTTGAAGATGAGGCGTGTGATAGGGAAGAACAGTTGAAAAAAAATATAGAATCTCATGTGAAATTGATAGAGAAATTGAATCAAGAGATAAAACAACTGAAAGAAGAACAGAACGTGAAGCAAACAGAAATCAGTGACACAGAAGTTAAATACGAAATACAAAGACAAAATTTAGAAGAACTGAAAAGCAAAAACCACAAAATGGCTATGAGTATAACGAATCTGCAATCTGAAATAGCAAAACTTGTTTCTGAATCAAGAAGTGGCAAAATGGAAATCGCTGAATTGAATGAAGCACTACAAAGCTATAAAAATGAGCATAAAGCTATAAAAGAAGAAAACCTCTTGCTATTAGAAAAGATGAAAGCACAGAGTACGACTTGTAACCTTCTAGAAGATATGATGGATAGCGCAGATCAAACTGAAAAAGATCGAACTATAAATAATAAAGAAGAAATCATAGCTAAAATGAAAGAGGAGGTAAAAGGACTCAAAGAAATTAATAAAAGTATGACAGTTTCCATAAGTGTGTTGGAAGAGGAGAACAAAAGGCTAGAGAAAGAGCTGAAGGAATTACAAATGGAGTTTGACCGGATTTTAGCAGAACATATTTCATCAGAAAAATCACTGGTTGTAAATGATACAGAATCGAAAACTAAAAAAACTACAAAAGTAATCACTAAAAATACGCACAACAAACTAAACGTTAACTCTACCAAAAAACAAGCAAACATCACCAATATTCATGACGCAAACATCATTACTAATATGAATGATGCTTATCCCAGTGATTCTATCGAAGTTGGGTCAACTATAAACTGTAACTTAATCACTAGTTCTCAAAAAAAACATAAGATATTGTTTTTAACAGACCAGTATGGAAAATATTTATTACCCTATCTTGAAAGTCACCTTTCTGATAAATTTGACGTACAGATTGTGACCAAACCTAATGCTTTATTCATTGATGTGATAGGGGGGCATGAAGAATCAATTTCCAAAATGTCGAGCTCGGACTATGTTATAGTAATGGCGGGGCTAAATAACAATAACGTAAAACTGAGTGATATCACCCTAATTGCCAATACTTGCTTCTACACCAACCTAATTTTTTGTACCATACCTGCAAAATGTACTGATGGTTTGCCATATTGTCATGTCGACTATGTAAATGGTAAGATAGTAAATGCCGTTTCAAACCTAAGAAAATTTGTTAGCAATATCAATTGTCTTGACCTATCCAACAGATTTCGATACTCTGACTACTCAAAGAATGGCATTTATCTCAATAATAAAGGTCTTACTAAATTGGCGTCGCTCGTGAAAAGTATAATCTGTGCCTTTGGTATGTTACCTTCGCAATCCTTCTTAAAGCCAATCAGTTTGGGCAATTATGATAACTATTCTAATTATGATAACTATTCTAAAGATAACACCAGTCAGGTTGATGTCGGGTGCACAAATAAACTAATCCAACAAAATTTTTCCCAAATTCTGGGACCTGCAAACCATCCGTAGTTAATGACAGTACTGATGCAGTTTCACTATTTTATCAAAACTGTCGTGGAATGAAAACCAAACTTGATATCTTAAGGACTAATCTTTTGGATAGCTGTTATGACGTAGTTGCATTGACGCAAACTTGGCTAAACGATAAAATATTTACATCAGAATTTTGTCCAAAAAACTTGATATCATTTAGAAAAGACAGAAATAGTGTGATAACTTTGAAAAAACAGGGTGGAGGTGTATTTTTGGCTGTAAAAGATAGGTTTAAGGTAGCAGAATTTAATATTTTTGATGAAGAACAAGAGGCGATTTGTATACAACTTAGTTTAGCCAATAATAGGTATTTATATTTAGTTTTAGTTTATATCGTACCTGACAGTCCACTAGACGTGTATGAAATTTTTTTTGAAAGATTGGAATTGGGTTTATTGGGCAGGGCAGATACGGATTTTATTATACTGGGTGATTTCAACGTACCAGGGTTTAACAATGACACCTCGACCAACAATATTGTAAATAATCTAAAGGCATTTCAAGCTTTCAACAATCTTTCTCAATTCAACAGCATACAAAACAACAATGGTGTACTACTGGATCTCGTTTTTGGATCATTTGATTGCTTGGTGGTAGAACAGGCTGAAGAACCGCTGGTAGCAATTGATAGTCACCATCCGTGTTTGGATATTAGACTGTCAATTAAGACTTCTCAAAGCTGTAGACTGGTCCCTACTACCAAATTCAATTTCAGGAAAGCCAATTATCTTCTTATGTATGAGCTGTTTCAGGAACAAGACTGGGATGATTTATGCGATTTCACAAATGCTAATCTGGCAATTGATGCTTTTTATAAAATAATACACAACATATTTGAGAAATGCGTACCAAAGTCTACACAAAAAAAGTAAGAAGTATCCAACTTGGTTCAACAATGAAATAATAAAACTTTTAAAGCAAAAACACACATGCTTTTTGAAATCTCGTAAATACAAGTCTCAGTTTTGGAAAACCAGATATAATGGTTTGAGAACCTTAATCAGGAATAAAATCAAAACAGCCCATGCTGAATACTTGGTGGATGTTGAATCAAGCTTGAAATCTAACCCAAAACTTTTCTGGTCATATCTTAAAAGCTTTAAGGAAAGTCCAGAGATTTAGGATGAAATGGCGTTTGAGAATGAAATATTCTCGGGAACATTCAACATTGTTAACGGCTTTGCAAAATATTTCAAATCTGTGTTTATCAGTAATGATAATATTGCGGATCACACCAATGCAAATAATGCTAAAACATACTTTTGTGATGCAGAAATATCTGTTTTAGACATAAAAAAGGCTTTCAAAAAACTTAAACCAAACAAGTCTATTGGCCATGATGGTATTCCTGCATTTATACTGAAAGGGTGCAGTGAATTTTTACTTGTTCCTTTAAAAATCTTGTTCAATCTTATGCTTAAAACCGCCACATTCCCAGAAAAATGGAAACTTAGTAAAGTGATACCTATACACAAAAGTGGTCCTAAACAAGATATTAAAAACTATAGACCCATAACAATAGTGTGTGCAATCTCAAAAATATTTGAAATTGTTATATTTGAATTGCTTTTCAATGAAGTATCACTTAAAATATCTCCCAATCAACATGGTTTCCTACCAAAAAGGTCCACATTTACAAATCTAACAATCTTTACGCAATATATACATGAAGCATTGAATAGGAAAACACAGGTAGATGTTATCTACACTGACTTAGAAAAAGCATTTGATAAAGTAAGTCACAATACTATTTTGGATGGTCTGGAGGCAATGGATGTTCCTCCATACCTGAATAATTTAATTCAATCTTACTTAGGAACAGACTCAAGTAAAAGGTATCAGTTTGTAGAATTAAAAGGTAGTCGGTCTACTCTTTTTGTTAGTTCTTCTGGTGTGCCCCAAGGGTCAAATCTTGGGCCCCTTCTTTTTGTTATTGCTTTCAATAAAATTCTTTGCAAAGTCAAAAATGTGGAATCATTGGCATTTGCCGACGATTTTAAATTATTTATTGAAATCACCTCGATTGAAGATTGCGAAATTCTTCAAAGAGAATTACAAGATTCAGCGAGTTATTGTCAGAAAAATAGCTTTAACTTAAATTTGAACAAATGCTCCTGTCTCAGTTTCAGTCGTAATAAAAACCCAATTGAATTTGACTATACAATAAATAATGAAAAACTAAAACGTGTTTCTGAACAAAAGGATTTGGGTGTAACTTTTGAAGATAATCTTTCATTTTCTTCTCATATTATTTCGAAGATTGAGAGTGCCCAGAGAGTTGCCGGGTTTATCTGTAGAAATACTAAACAGTTCAATATTGATGTCAGCATCCACCTATTTGATAGTCTGGTATTACCGATACTGGAGTATGGTAGTATAATTTGGTCCCCTCAGTATCACATTTGGATAAGTATTATCGAGGGAGTTCAAAGAAAATTTTTGAAGGCTATGCACTTTAGAAAGTACGGATTTTATCCACAAAGAGGTTGTGACAATGACTTCTTGCTAGGTTTATTTAATAGACTGTCTCTAAATCAAAGAAGAACTAAAATATTTCTCGCAACAATGTACAGAATATTAAAAGGTTATGTTGATTCTCCAGAAATAGTCGGTGAACTTCCTTTTGCCATAAATCGTATCAACTCAAGAACAAAAAATGTTTTTTATTTAGCTTACCCACGGACGAATTTATATAAAAGCTCTCCAATATATAATTTGTGCAATATGTTCAATAAATATGCTTCAGATACTGATATTGATAGCACTACCTACAGACAGTTCAAACGAATAATTGACTTAAAATTACGCAATAGTTAGCATGTAAGTTTCGTGTGTACTGTTCGTGTTTAATGTTGCTTTTACTTGCATTTATGTCGTTTACATTTTCACGTTGGATGTTGTAATAGTTATTAATTTGATGACATTTTACAAAACTTTTTATTGACATTTTACATACTTTTAGAATAAGCATAGGTATCTGTAATTGGCTTTTTGGCTGTAGATACTGTTTGAAATAAATAAATAAATAAATAAATAAGACCAACATACACCGACATTTCCGCGCACTTGCCGCTTCTCGAGCGTGATAGGACATTTCCTTGCGAGTGCGCATATCCGTAAAAAAAAAAAAAATATCGTAGTGTTGGTTTGGTTTTCATAGCAACTGCTGACCACAAAGATATTTATTTAAAGTTATTCTGGTGTTCCCTTTCCCCTTCCCGTTCTGCTTTTCAGGGTGAATAGTTGAGCTACATAGCGGAGCAAGAGAGGCTACGTGATAATATTTTAGGTGTTTTTAATTGTAATCACCGGTACTGCTGTATATATTAATTATTATAATGCATTTGTAGCAAGTATACTTATTTCCATTTAAATTTAGGTTTAGGAGTGGACCTGATTTTTATGTAAGTACTACTTTCATTCAGGTACACCATACCATTTCTATTCAATGATTTTCGCCCAGCTCTATATCCTCCCGAATAATACCAATCGTTCCGGTCGCTAGCACCATCTTTTCGGCTAGCTTCATCCTGCAATTATTTGGAATTGCGCTTGATTTTGCTTGAGGGGCACTCTTTCCTAGTAGCTTGGCTAAGCGAGTCGACGTCAGTAACGTGAGCGAGCACTTTTGATTTTTGGCGAACGTACTAAGTTTTCTTAAAAAGTTTCTTGAAGAGGTGAATCCTTCAAATTACTCTCTGTGGTTTGGAGTGCCATTTATGGCTTATTGAATAAATATTTAGTTTATTCGTCCACTCAGCTCAAATCCTTTCATATCTTGAAAATCCCCTAAGTTCATAATTATTTCTCCAGCCTACCTTTATCTGCAACCACCTCTGGTGATGCCAGTGCCTGTATTGTGTGCCAAATCATGGTATACTTACGAGCAGCCCCTTGTTCAGGGTGAGTCATGTATTTTTGTGTTTTATTATAAACCTAAAAGACAAGTTTTTTGTCTATTTCAAGTTTCTTCAAAAAAAAAGAGGAGACCATCAGTAATTCAGTTTTCTGATAGATCCAGGCCTAGAATTGGTCCCAGTCACTAAAGAGGTATGCTTCTGTAAACTTCATATTCCCTCACTTCTGAGGTCACTTTTATGGTCCCTGATGGATAGTGCCTATCGTCCCTGATGACACCTTGACTTGGAAGTAGTGACCACAGGTTTCTTTACGTTTAAGTTTTACCATTAATATTATATTTTTTATTGAGATTCACCCAACTGGAATGTCCCATTTCCATGTTCAGTTCGCCTTTCGGCTGAGCATGTGAATTTTTAGAGCAGAAGTCTGTTATATTTTTTATTGAGCATTACCTAGTTGGAATGACTCATTTCTATGTTCAGTTCAGTGTTTGGTTGAGCATGTGAATTTTCAGAGCAGATAGACAGAACGAGGTTCTTTTATATATATTTTTTATTTATTTAGCATTACCTAAATGGAGTGACTCATTTCTATGTTCAGTTCGCTGTCCGGTTGAGCCTATGAGTTTTAAGGGCAGATAGACCACAAGAAAGGGTCCCAATTCAAATCGATTATCATTATTATTTTACACAATAATATTTAGTTAAGGGTAGTACTGGGTTGGAATCAAATTATTCTTACATTTATGATTCTAATTAAATTGACATCCTA